CACCACTTGTTTCTACAGATGGTGGTATAACTGTTCCTATCACCACCATCAAAAAAGAATGGGAAACAATCTGGCTGAAAAACAAGCACGTGAAAATTTTAACAAATCTATGGGAAGCTTCTTTGGCAGAACAGATCACATGGTTCATTAGCTATTTCACAAGCACCACTATGAAAGTGATATGCCAACATTAGCAGCAATACCACTGCCCAGATTTTACACTAACATGACCCCTAATATATCAGGATACTAACTAATCTAACTAACCACTTTTCCTATGCAGTGCACCATCCTCCTGGCTAAATCCCAGTCTGCCTAATTTCCTCTTGCAATCTTCATTCAGTTAGTACACCCCTAAAACTTCAGCATAATAGAAGACACTGAAGAATCTGCTATTAAGACATTTGCATGATCTTTTAGAGCCTTCCAGATAAGATGTTTGACAAGAAGAGTAATGTTTTCAGACAGCATAGCCTTGGTGGGTGTTTTGTTTGAAACCACATATCATGAAATTGCTCCCAGCATGGCGCTCCTGTCCATTAGAAAATCTGCAACATTCATGTATGCCCACAGTTCAGTGCAATTCCTATAATGAGTGTTTTATTCATTTATCCCAGTGTCTACGAAGCTCAGATTATCATTTAATTTTAAGCAAACTGCATACTGTGAACATTTGTAAGAGAGCAAACCATTAAATTTAACACTTATACAACAGCTCTAATTAACTTGCTGTATTATGATTCCTCCATTTTAAGAAATACAGATTTAGTTATACATATCTTGTTTTCTGTAATTTTTATAACACATTTAAGTATTTAGTTTTTCCATTCACACCATTTAGGAAGGAACTTACAAGTAGAAATCTAAGCACGCTAATTGACAACCGATTCAAATGCAAGTACAATACAAATACAGTACTGTAATCAGGCTTTTAACCAGATTTTAATACATCTTTAGAATCACAAAAATAGGCAGGTAGAAACATCTATGTTTTGTAGTAAGTAAGTTTTTAAAAACTGATGTATCTAATATGCACTAAGCTAAGGATTAGTGCACATAAGCACCAGTCAAAGCAAAAATGCTGGATTTAAAAAATACATTTCCAAGTGTACTGCCCATTTATGTGTATTACTAAAAGTCTGATCAAATTAAAGACTATCTTAAATTTACTTTGATAGATCATGTTTATCTATATTGATGCAAAATGCACAGCCTGAACTTGGGGCCAAAAAAACCCACACTGAACTCAGAATTTAGGTCTGAAGTAGTGCAAAAGAGCAACTGTGTGTATGCTGAGCAGATGCCAATTAAAACATACACTTGCTACACCTTAAACACTGTGTTATTTTCCATACAATGCCCCACAGCTTTATGAAAAATAGGGAAATGCTTATTTAGGAATTTCTTTTAAGTCAAGATTTGAATGCATTTTTTGAATGCATAGTGTCATCAAATGGATCAGTTTGTAAGCTCTCTCTGGTTTAAATAAAGCAGAAAATCAATCAAGAAATTGACACTTTCCCTTATCTCAAGTAATTCTTCCATCATTCTCAAAGGAAAAACAAACCAGGGGTAGGTATATTTACTTTTCATTGCCCCAAACTTCCAATATTCTTCAATGACCTTTTACTTTCCACTGCAAAATAAAAAGCACAGCAGAACACAATATCTAACCAAATAGAAGTGCTTGGTGATGGACTGAAATAATACAGTGGATAACAGCCAAAAGACAATGTTAAATTCTACTTGTTCTGACCACATGCCATGGATATAAAGAATGTACTAGATAAGGGCTGTTTTCCACAGAAATATTTATCATGGGAGATGTTTATCAAAGGAATTAAGCTATTTCTTGACTGAAGAGCTAGAGAAGCAATTGTTTTCTAATCTTGTTTTAAGTCATAAGGAGTGTCTTGAAGGATTCCCTGAAGATGATACTGCTCAAAGGTTGCAACAGAAAACATCCCACCTTGTCCTCCAGCTGAGATCTCTACTTCTCATCAATATAGTTTACCTACTCCCTTATCTCTTGGTAACTCAGAGTGATGAAGCTTAAATCAGGTTTCCAGCACCTGTCTCCTTCCCCTTTTAGACACATAAGATTCTTGAACTTATTTCTTTTATTTTTTTAGTCCATGACAGTCAAGGCAGTGACTGCCACAGACAGTAAACTGTATTATGACACAGTTCTAGCTACTCTATTTTTCTAGTCCCTATGCAAACTCAACAGCAAGAAATACAGAAGACAAGGAACAAAAAAGCAGAAAGGGCATAGAGAAAGAAAATCCTTTCCCTTCCTCTTCATTTAAAATGATATGTGCAGACTAATCCTTTTCATTTTCAATTTGCAGCCTACACTGTGAGCCAAGATCTGACAGGGGGAGATTGACTGGTGCTACTTGGTTTCCTGACTGCAGGAAGTTATACACAGGCCGTAAGAAACAACCAGTCACAATTGCCCCTGCAAACAGAGTGTAGCAGAGAAAAAAAAAAAAAAAAAAAAAAAAAACAACAAAATAAATAAACAAGGAGTTAAAACCAGAGTTGTCCCAAGCAATTATACATTAAAAAAAAATAAAAATAAATAGAAAACAAATTACAAAATTAGCAGCTATTCAGAAAAATAGACTAGGGAAATTAAAACCAAAAAGCGGTGAATTCATTAACTGCTTGATGCCAGAAGATCCAGATATATTTGATGAGGATCCCAATAAAAGAAGTGATTTCTAAGCAATGAAGTCATTAAAGTAGTAGCAAATAACAAGCAGAAAATATTTCAGCATGGGCTGTACAAACCTTCTGGAGACACAGAGATAACTGAAGCTGTAAACCCACATCTCATCAAGCAATCTCTATCCACACCAGCTACACAGCCACATCAGTCAGCAGTACAGTCAGCTCCAGTCACACTGCCTGCCATCTGCTCGCAGTGTATCACAAGCAGCAGCACACTCCCACTGTCACACTGTGTGGGTGCAGTCCCACAGCACTCGAGCCAACACAAGGTACGGCTGCCACAGCCTCCAGCTATCTTGGCTGCACAGCCCTTGGCCATTTCATCAGCACTGGCACTCAAGCAATCACATCAGTTCAAGGAGATGCTGCAGACGGCAGCAGAAGGAACTGATTTTCCATGAGATTGGCTGCCTGAGCTGGCTTGCTGCACTGTCACATCAACAGCAGCACTGGCTCAAGGGAGGCACCAAAATGATGTGGCTGGCATTAGGAGGGTGGGGTTGTGACAGATCTACATTGGCTCAAATTGCCATGAAACTCAATGTGCAGAAGCTAGCTTCAAATCAGACTGTACCTATGCCCAGACCACAACCACAAATATCCACAAACCAGCACTGCCTTCAGGGTTAGGAATTTCTTACCCATTAGCTTCCTGTCAATGCTGATCCCATCTTAGAGCTGCCACAAACATCGGTATAGTCAGACATGTGATCCTCGCAGAAATAAAAGATGGGTACTGCTAATATACTACAATTACTCAGTAGTCAGAAAAGTGTGTTCTCAAAAAGAAAAATTCGTGTCTTGATGAGGTCATATCCCATAAAAACTTGTTCCACTGATTGTCTAGCCTTTCAGATAAAAAAAAAAAAAAATACTGGCTATCTGCCACTTCCAAGCACTGGACCTTGGATTACATATGCTGAACTGAAAGTTCTGTCCTTCAAATTTGAGCAAGTCACTCTCTAATCTTTCCTTTATCCTCTCAATCCTCTCACTATCAGGCTAATTTTCTATTTATCAGTTTCATCACTTTTCCTTAAACATCTTCAGTTTAACAATATAATTTCTCAACTGGGGAAGCCAGAATTGAAAACATTCTTGTGATAGCCCTTGTTCCAGGTAAAATGTCCTCTTTATGGGACTATTTTACATTTACCATTATACTATGGTAAAATAGTTGAATAATCTTCATGATGCCTAATTATTTTTCAGAATAAGTGTTTCAAGAGAAGTCTGTATTAAAAGAAGTATCTTAATGTGTCTTTGTTTGTTCATTCCTCAACACAACAGCTTTACATTTGATTTACTGAAACAATAGTGGCTATCTCTTGATCTTAATAGAATGAGACAGACTAAGGAAATGGCCTATTGCTCATGTGCTTCCAGGTGTTCCAGTAACCATCCATCCTGCAGTGCTACCAGTATATGTGGGTTGTCCATCTAGACCAGCAGCAACCAGAATCAGATGTTTCAAAGAATAGTCGAAATGGCAGGAACAAAGAAATCTTTTCTACTGAAGATTTCTAATTATCTCTAAAACACAGAGACAGCCCTGAGCCTTCAGATGCAACATTCTCTACACGTAAGTTAAGACAACAATGGATATTTTTGTACCTCTATATATTTACTCCTAAGTTCTCAGTCGCTGAATTTATTCCAGGGCCATTTCATTCCTTTCACTTAGTCCATCTACAGTATGTTCCTCAGTTAAGTCATATCTTGTGTATGGAAACATTTACTGTCATGTTTTCCCCCATTTCCCACCTTTCCATTTTAATGATTTGCTCTTGTACTAAAACAGAGGGAGGTCCTACCTCTCTAGAATTCCTATTTTCATGTGGGAGCTCTTCAGCACAGCTCTGCTAATACTTACAAGAGCCTCTGCTTCCACTTAAGTGTCTTTTGACAAGACATGCAGTGTTGCTGCCTCAAGGAAGAATTTATTTTCTTCAAGTTGCTGAGAAAGTTACATAAGACCTAAAAACTGGTCTGAAGGTGCAAACATGGAAAAACTGAAAATTACTGACCCCCCAAGTATTTAAAATATGTCAGCTTTCACTATTTTTATCCTTCTTTGACTGAAATCATTGAGAATTATGCTATGGCATTAGCTGCCACAATGGTGTAAGCTTTGATGTTCTATACAGCTCTAAATAGTAGAAGCGATTCAAAGCAAAGTTTACAAAACTGCCACGAGTAGAAAGCTAAAAGGAAAAGTCAGAAAGCCATTTCCAGGAAGTCAGTAGATGCATTGTTTAACTTACCAAACAAGCGCTGATGGAAGAGAAATTTCCCAGCTATTAGTCCTGTGAGAATGGCAAGGAGCCACAGAAACACCTTCAAAAATCTCCAGCCTCCTCCTTCAGGGTATTTATTTGTTACAAAGGAGAAACAATTACCAACAACAATAACATTGGCTTCTGTCTGGCTGTGAGATACTGGGTCCTCAGCAAATATTAAGAAGTTAAAGAAGATCACTAAGTAAGCCACAACTAAGCGAGACCACGGGTGCTGGAAGTAGTAGCGGAAGTCTTTATCCATCCTCAGATACTGAAGAACTGGGTTTTGCCTATATGTAAAGACACAAATGCATAATGTTATATATACCCCAAATTCTCAGAGCTTAGAAGAGACTCAATATATTACAAAAATCAAATCATTGCAACCTTGTCATCAGCGATTTTTAACACTTTAGACTTGACTAGAAATGAAAGTTTCAATCAAAAGATATTGTTGGATCCAGGGAGAGAAAACCTGAAATTTCTCTCTATTCCAATGTAAAAACAACAACCAAACATATACACATTGTAGCAGAGGATTTTCAGTCTCAAATATACTTTTCATGCCTCCTCCATAATGGGGTGTGAAAAGAATGAATATAAGAACATGGCAAGCTACCTAAAACCCAGACTGCCTTTCCAGCTGCACAAAAAATACAACACAAATTTCACAAAGGTTCATGCTAAGCCTAAATTGAATCTTTCTCCGTATAGGAGAAGGATGGAACCAGCCCAGAAGTCCAGAGGTCTTCTACTGGAAGTTTAAAAGCATATGACCCAGAAACATCAGAAACAATGCTCATATGAAAGAACGACATATAGGAAAAGATTTTAGAATTAATTCTTGCAAGTCAGGCAAGCCTGTAAAAGTCTTTTCATTGCCTTCAGGGAGTACACCCATAGCTTTTCAAAACCATAAAGTAAGACACCCTGAAAACAGACTGTTCTGTATGAATACAAAAACTGTATTTTGAAACCTGCCAACTTATTGAGTACTGCCATAGAAAAATGCAACTGAGCATGGCTAACATTTTAGTTGTTTGCCACTTGATTTCTTTTTCTTTTATTCACAGCCAAATAGTTTTCATCCTCTTGAACCACTTTGTATGCACAAAGATACAAGGCCTTTGTGTCACAGAACACCAAAATTATTCAAGCAACACAGTATGTAGGAAGAAAAATAAAAGTGTCTAGTAATATTGCTTGTTTATTACAGCATGATCCTTGAAGGATACAGTGACAAATTTTTGCAAATGTCATATGTCCTGCAGCAAAAAACCAAACCAACCAAACAAAAACCATCCCACAAAAGACCTAAAACCCCTGATCAATTACTCATCCCTTCCTGGACTTCTAACTTAGGACTAGCAAACTTAGAAATGTCTCAAATTTCAATGTCTCTCTTTAGTTAGTCCCAAAATTATTTACCTGCATAACCCAATTTATATTAGTAAAATTGCAAGGAATCCTGTGCCTATTAAATGAAAAGAATAAAAGAACCTCTCAACAGATTCAGACAATGCATTCAGTAAATGACAGAAATAATGTACCATTATGCATAAATTACATATGAAAAATAAAAAAATACCACATTACAGAGTTAAACAGTTAGCACGAAGGAGTGTCGGTCCTTCAAAAACTTTATGAAAAAAAGTAATCACTTCTCTTTTTTTTTCGTAAAGTAAGGGTCGTTGCCTAAGAAAATACAACCCTGGGGAGATTAAACTGCCTTTAGAGCCATAAAGATGCCCAAATATATTTCTTGTTCTCCTTTCGTTCTGTTACCATTAAGAAAAAGTTTTGGTATTTCCTTATGTGTATGAACCATCTTAAAGCCCGAAAGGGGCTGGAGATCAACAACTACATGTCCCGGTATTTTTGACAGCTGCCGGACACCCGAGAGTTACCCAACACCCAGCTGAAGACGCGGCTTCCTAGGAAGCGTTTTATAGCATCAGAAGCCAATATTAGCAATAGCGGCAGTGACAAGTTGCTAACAAAATCCTCCTACCTACCTCACAGCCAAAAGCGCGGGCGCCAAGAGCGCCGCTGACCACACGCCCATCGCAACCTGTTAAATCGACATTTCCCCCCTGCCCCCGGCGCAGACCCGGGCACCCGCGGCCACCTCACCCGGCGCGGCGGCTGCGGCCGCGGGGCCCCGCCGGGCACAGGGCCACGGGCCCCCGCAGCGCCGCCGCCCCGGGCCGCCCTCCCGCCGCACTCACCGCCACGGGGGATCCGGCGCCGCGGGCGCGGTGCTGCTGCTGCTGCTGCCGCTGCTGCTGCTGCGGCGCGGCTCGGCACCCGCCCCGGTGCGGCTCTGGGCGGCGGGCGGCCCCGCTCCGCCCCGCTGCCCCCACGGCCGGCAGGGCCCCCCAGCCCCTCGGCGCTGACAGCGGCGCTGGCTGCAGCGGCGTCCCGCCCCCCGGCCGCCGCGGGGAGGGAGCGGCTGCGGCGGCGGCGCTCCTCCCCTCCTCTCCTCTCCGTTCTTCTCCGCTCCGCTCCGCTCCCGGGCGCGGGCGAGCGGCGCCGGCAGTGCCGCAGCCGCGGCGGCAGCGGGCGGCGCCGCTGCGGCAGGGTCCCGACGCCCCCGGCGCCCTTGCCCGTCCGTGCCAGCCCCTCCCCCGGAGCCTGCCAGCGAGAACCCGAAACCTGCGCGGTGTGCCGCGGGTGTTTATTCACCCTGGAAAAGGGTGGCCGGGGAGCCACGGGGGCTTAATCCAGCCGGCCGAGGTGAACCAAACCCGAGCAGCGCTCAATTCCCATCGGTCAGACTCCAGCATTATGCAAATTTACAAACACGGGAAACGGGCGGTCAAATCTGGGTATTTATTATCCCAAAGCAAAACCACGGGGCTGGCAATAACAGACAGATCGCTCAGGACGATCTTTCAATACCCTAATATTTGGGAGGCGAAGGAGATCTACACACAATTTACTTACTTGGGAAGGGGATATGCTGAGGCTCCAGGGTGCACACACAGTCTGTATGGTCACTGTGTCGGGCAAAATGCCTCTGTGCAGCCTGCCAGAGTTGTTGACATTGCACTCCAGCCGAATTGTCAACCAAAGCTTTTTAATGTGGGATGTGGTCCCTAGTGTCAGTGTGCTGGTATTGCTGACATCCCAGGAAAACGTTTACAGGATTCTCTTTGCATTGCATTATGACTGGGTTTTAATGCAGTATGTACTAGTTCTGGTCATTGCTGAAGACAGTTTGAAAACAAACTTGAAGTTGCTAGACACAGCCTCAATATATCGTTGGGAAAAGTCAGGTAACTCCATTGGAGCAGGTTTCTGAAATTTGGCATCAGGTATCTGGCTGCTTCAGGCCAAGGTAGACAGGAATGTGGCTGAGATCCACTGAGGAATGTGGGAGGGTCTGTTGCAAAAGACCAGCACAACCAGAACAAGCAGCAGAAGAAGACTTGTGAACCCCTTCTGTACTTCTGGCAAAACAGTTTTATGTACTTTTGTAAATAAACACAACTGCTACTGAAGATGTCTAACATAATCACCATATTATCTTCCTCAGTGGAATAGTCTGAGACCCTCAATTTTATGTAGAAAGATGCAGTATTCAGTATTTCACACCAACACACCCCAAGCTATCTTTAAAGTAAAAATAAAATTCAAATATTCACAGATGAAAAATCATCATGTACAATGTGAGAGCACAGAAATACAGTGCAAAGCACTGCCTGTTCATGCAACAGTTCTGTGTGTACTGCCACTCTTGCAGAACTGTCTCCTTATGTTCAGCTAATGAGAATCCACAGAGAGGGAGGCAGTATACACTACAAAGAGATCACAATCTTCATGCACCTACACACCAAAAAATATTCTCTTCAGCTCAGATTGAAACCCATGCTACACTACAAAGTATCCGTGAACATTTTTTTTTCATATAGTAAATCAGTGAGCAAAGAAGTCACTAAGTTGTTCAAATGAAAATCATCTACTTTTCTATTAAAGTAACCAAAAGCCTAAGTGTTCTATATATCTCCCCCAAATTTCATGTTGCACTTGCTGTCTTAAGAGGAAGCTAATACATTTTTTTAAAAGTGTAGTGTTTTACTCATATATATAAAAATCATGGACTACTCCTATTTCTTTTTAACCAGGCAATAAAGATTTTCTTGATGAAATACACACCTGAATAGCAACAATTACCAAATAATCTCAGTAGACAAGACTAATCAGGCCTGCCCACTGAAAGTCAGAGACTGCCTGCAACAGAAGAAGATAAACACACTCTTACCTACAAAACTGTCAGTAAATTAAAAAGCCAGAAATAAAACCAGTGAGTTGAGCCTAAAGAGCAGACTGAATCAGGACAATGAGACATCTTGAAATGTTAGTTCTGATACGTGTGGATGAAATTAATCTATCAGCACTCCTACTACAAAATAGACTTGTGTAAAGGCTATTGTTTTACACCCAGTTTCCAACAAAGCTGTGAGCTTTGAACTAACCATATATTGATACTATTAATTGATTAATTATTAATAGTACAGTATCAATTTTACACTCAGATATGAGGAATCATCAGCCTTCAGCACATTCATCTGTATCTGGAATGTTTTCTTTTTGTCATAAATTATATTAAACTTCTCATATTTCAGTTTATACCCATTTCCTCTTGTCTCTCACTGGACATCACAATGAGTCTGTCTTCATCTTTACTCCTCCTACCAGACATCAATTCAATCCTCCACCTTGAGCCTCCTCTTCTCAAGGTTAAACAGTCACAGTTTTCTCATCCTGTCCTCCTTCTCCTTTCATCTGTGAATGCACAAATGCCTCTTCCCTGGCTTGCTTCTCATTAAAAGTACTTCATTCCCTCAAACCTCAAAACCCCATTACTCAGAGATCGTGCTCTTAGTGTATTTTTCTTCCATCCTGCTGTTGTGGGTTGACCACATCCAGCAGGTAAGCACCCACACAGCTACTAGCTCACTTCCCCCTGCCTCCTTCCCTAGTGGGACAGGGGAGAGAATAGGAGAAAAAGAAAGAAAACCAGTAGGTAAACATAAAGATGGTTTATTAAGTAAAGAAAAGAAAAAGTGAGAATTATAAAATGTAGTAAGTAAGGATTAAAAAAAATATGGTGAGGGAACCACTCACCAAAGCCCACAAGTAGACCATCAGTCTCTGATAAACAGCTTTGAATACACTGTCTCACCCTTTTCCTCTACCCAGTTTTATTGGTGGGCATGATGTTATGGACTATATGGGGTCAGCTGTCCCAGCTCTGAGCTCTCCCAAATTCATGCCTACTTGCTGGTATGGCAATGTAGGCAGAAAGAGAGACATCCCTGATCCTGTGCAAGCAATGCTGAGCAATAGCCCAAACACTGGTGTGTTTTCAACACTGTTTTAGTCATAAACACAAAACACAGCACAATTTCACTGCTATGTAGATAATCAACTTCATTCTGGGCCAGATCCAGTACACCTGTGAAAACATCCTTGGAACAAAAGACTCCCTGCTCTGGAATTTCACACTCATGATTATTATGACCTGTCTCAGCTATACCGCTTCAGACTTGCTCCTTATCTGCATCCCCAACTCATTTCTTACCATCTTCTAAAAGAAAAGAAAGCAGCACAATACAACATGAAACAAATGGGAGAGAAAAAAAATGCACAAAAGCTGGCAACAGTAAGTGCATAACTGAAGAACTAAATAGTTCAAGAACTTGGAAGAAAAAAAAAGGCAAATAGATATACCCTGTGGAAATGAAGAAGGTGAAGATAATCAGAGAATGATCTTTCAAATACTAATACTGCTTTGTAATTAGGTGTGAAAAAATAGAATTGTGTAAAAGAATGTGGAACAGCAGAAATGTTTCTACTGCATATTTGGAAAACATAAACAGTAACAGTGTTTTCACATTATGTAAAATGAAATACTTTCCATTAAATCAATAATATGAGCAGATAGTAAACTGTGTGAACTAAAATTAAATGGCAGGTTGAAGAGTTATTAGAAAAATAAATGAAAGACATGATAGACAGCAATGTTAATAATTAAGTTTGCTCCTAACTGGTGAAATGCTGAGAAAAATTCAGAGAACTAGAAGAAAGTTAATGTTGTAATGAGTGAAAGAGTGAAAGGGAGAAAAACAGCCACATAAGCATGCACATGTGCACACACATGTTATGGCAAGAAAAAGTGATAAAAACATTCAAATATAATGTTTAAGAAATATAAGTGATGCTCCAGCTAAAAATGTTAGTGGAATCCTGGGACATGGGTGATTATTATGTATTTTTTTATCTTTGTCAACCAGGTTTTAAATTACTAAGAGGAAGTTAGGGATGGTTTCATCTCCATTGATAGGTTAAATCACAAAAATAAAATTTTGAGCAGAATTTAATATACAGATATATCTATCTTTACAATACCAGTGTAACTTGAAACAAAAAACAACAGGAGAATCAGAACTTTATATGACCTTTTACTTACTGTCAAGCAAAACTTCAGTACTAGAGTCAAATAATATAGGGCTTACCAAAATTGAAGCAGAAGCTGTTCTGACAATTTTGAAGATTAAAGTCTGATGACAAACCTTACATTTGAATTTAGTACTTCCTTCTGTTCATCCAGTCCAAGTTTACTCCAAGTAAGCATGATGCTACTTCAGATAATCTATACTGATTTAAAACAGGCAATATACACCTAGCCTAGATGAAATCACTAAAGGATAACTGAATGAAGTGAATTTACACCACTTGTTAAATACCTTTTAAGTACATCTGCTGGCCATATGGATGCTTTCAGCAAATATAAAAATACATGTGTCTTCTGCACTAGAAAAAGAAAGGAATAATCAGCTTGTAGCTACTCTGATAGTTCCACATACAGCCTTAGAGGAAACAAAAGAAAAAGTGGAATCTGAGTTCAGCCTTACACAGATTCTATTTAACCACGCTAAGCTGGCTGCAATGGTAAAGAAGAAGACTTCCGAAAGATAGAACTAAGTTGGAAGACAAAAGGTCAGAAAAATAGTAAGTGACAACGTAAGGTCTTTCAGAAAAAAAATATACTCTAATGTTGCTGAACCCTTGATGCATGGACCATTTTGTGGATAAAGACTTTGCTGGATGGTAGGACTCAAAGAGCTGTGGTCAATGGCTCCATGTCCAATCAGAGACCAGTGATGAGGGACCCCTCAGGGGTCAGTAGTGGGACAGGTGATATTTAACATCTTTATTGGTGACATGGAATTGAATGCACCTCAGCAAGTTTGCCAAGGATGCCAATCTGTGTGTTGTGGTTGA